TGTTTCATTTATCTGAAAAGTGATGATAAAGAATAAGTAATAGAAATTGTACTTTTCTCTTGTTATGTATCTATGATTTCAGTCAGGCATGGTGGTACATGCCTGTAGTCCCAATAGCATGGAAGGCTGAGGCAGAAGGATCACAAGTTGGAGGCTAGCCTGAGCAATTTAGCAAGGCCCTAAGCAACTTAATGAGACCCTATCTAAAAAAATAAAAAAGGGCTGAGCATGTGGCTCAATTATTAAGTGTCCCTGGGTTCAATCTCCAGTACCCAAACAAAATAAAAATTTCATAATTTCTAAATGTATATTTAATATGCTCATTTATTCTTGGCACATAAACCTGTAGCAGTCCACTGATACCTTGTAGTTAGCCCTTGCTCTTCCATTTTGCCCATCCCTCAGTCCTGCCACATTAATATAACTTCACTGTCCTTTATTCTGACAAATTTTCTATATAATCATATTGTTAGAATACACATAGACTTCATTCAAAAATCTCATCCTACAACTTTGCCTTAAATTAAAGAGCAGGAAAAAGGAAACTAAAAGGAAAAGAAGAAGGATGTAAAGCATCTCATTGTCTGGTAAGTCCTCAGGTTTTTGTTTTTTTACAAACATTATGAAATTCACTTTTGTGTTAACCCATGTAAATAAATTATTAATTTATAACATTTTGTTTGTAGGAACTGCCCTGATTTTTCAGATTCTGGCAAGTATTTCTTTTTTCCCCTCAGCTCACTTTTACTTCTTTTAAATGAAAGCTTTTCTTTCTGATCTGATACTTCTTTGTCTTTTAAATATAGGTTTCTAGCACCTTTGCATTACCTTCAGATTCTTGCAGAGAAATGAAACATCAAGCTCACTTAGTGTGTCTGACTCCATCTGATTGGAGGAGTACATTAAGTTTCTGGCTGCGCTCTTTCTCACTGTCCCAAGAGTCTCATGATGCTGAGGACAGTCATTGCTTATCATCCAGGGGACTGAAGTTTTAAGTCAGATGTCTTCAAAGCTAACAGATATTAGAAAAAAATACACAAGCAACAGAGCTAACATTGAACAATGACAGAGATAACTAATATTGTGATACAAAAAGCAAATGGGGTGAGTATATCAATTTAATCCCACGTTAATATGCGTGTCTCATCTTACTGTTGGGTCTGGGTGTCATAAAATACTTTCATTGATTAGTTTAATCGTTGCTCTCTAATAATTTATGCACTGGCTTGAGAGAAAGGCTACAAAAAAGTCTGATGTTCCAGTGTTTATTATTTACTTACTTAACTTTACATCTTACATTTTTGAGGTCCTACTGTCTGTCCTTTACTATGTGCTTGGTGCTAGATATTATGACTTTTGAGTTTAATGAACATTAGTACTTTTACCAATTCTCAGACAAGGCGATCTTTTATGTTTGTCATATGTTTTTATTCTAAAAATACATAAAATCCTCTAAGACATTACAATTATTATTTTTTACAGTCAATATTCATTCAGAATTTCTATACTTCCTTTTTGTTATGACCTATTCCTTTCAATATTTTCTTTCCTCTGTTGCTACTCATTTTTTTTCAACTTGATAAAATTCCTATAGTATTTCTTTCAGTATAGGTTTTGTATTTCTTCTAGAGTAGGTTAGAACCAGCTTTTGGGGTCTAAACTTGTCTTCATCTTCCTTGTAAAGAGGAGAGGAGAGAATTACACACATACACACACACACACACAATTGTTTATTGAATCCTAGATTGGCAGCTTCTTAGCTTCTTAGCATCCATGTTATTCTTGACATCTCAATGTTTTATTCTTAACTGAATGACAGATGTCCCCAGAGGAAAAGTTGGTCTGAAGCTCAGGTTTACATTTACCTTCCCTCTAGAATGGCAGCCACTCAATTGCTTTGGTAGCTCTCTGATGTCTTGCACAGATTTAAAATAAAAATTTTTAAATATTTTAGTTGTTTTTAGCAGGATAGTTTCTCTGATACAAACTACTCAGTTATAACCACAAGTGAGGAATTTAATTTTTAAGAATTATTTCTAAAAAATCATAGTATCCACATGGATTGCCCTAGCCAGAGAGATTTTTGTTTTTTGAAGTCTGAATCTCCCTTACTCTCTAATATCATAATTTCTATCTAAGGTAAATTTCTCAATTATGAGATAGTAGAGTCTGATACAGTCTAGAAGAATGTACATGTCTCTGGCTAGACATGTGGCACTTGCCCTGTTCTCATCAGTCACACGTCTATACCCATGTCAAAGTCAAGTGTTCCCAGTGTCTTTTATACTTCCTTATATAATACAGCATTATGTTGTAACCATTTGTTTGCTTGTTCATCTCTGCTGAACTGGAACTGGACCTCTGCTGTATTTATCTTTATGATTTCAGTGCCTACCATAGTGCTTGACATCGCTGGAAGGTATCCAGCAAGCACTGTTTGAATAAAGTGTTTTCCTAGATAAGGTTATTTATATATCAACCATAATACTCATTAAATTCTCATTAGTAGTAATTTGAATCCAGAAAGATTTTTCTTTCCCCTCTTGACCTAAACCCATATTTTATCCTACTTAAAGTCTGTGGATTCCATGCATTGAATCCATGGGGAGTTTCTGTGTTCCTAGAGTACTGAGAGAGAAGAACTAACAACAAAGTATAGGAAGAAAAGACACTGAAAACATGAACACTTTAAAGGTCACAGTTGAATACAGTCTTCAGGAGAATAAATAAGGCATGCCATCCTTTTCCAGAGTCATGCCCAGTTCTCCAATTCTGACTTCAGTGAACTTCCTTCTATGCCATTGTTCCCTTAACTCTTCATTGGCTTAAGACATGCATGGAAAGACTTAGTTCATTTTCAAAGCAAGCATATACTTTTTTTCTATATTATTAAAAGTTAAATTATTTGATCATGTACTCAAATTATTCTCTACAAATGAACCTGACATACTTTGTCTTCATTCCAGATGATTGGTATCAGAATTCCATTAACTGTATTGTGAGTATATTTATTTATTTGAAATTAAAATTGCAATTATCTTGAATTAAGAATTTGGTTTACTGACAGATATCTTATTCTTTTTCAGGCTTGTATCATTCTTAGCATTTGGTGTTTCCAATAATTTGAGCCACAGAGTGCTAGCCCACTCATGCATGGGCTTCCTTTTACTGATTTTCCTATGCATCAAAAACATACTATTTTATATTTAAAAGGTGGAAATAAAGAATTCTTATCTTTATTATCTAACATTACCTAGCTCCCGCATACAGCTGGTCCAGTTTATGTTTCCTAGTGTGTAAGGCCCAGTGCAAAGTCATCTTAAATATTTCTTACTCTCTATTTTAGAATTAAAAAATGTATTTGTGAGCCTCCAGTTTCCAGTTATAGTGAAATAGCTTGAACATCAACAGGCAATAATGATAGATGGATTTTAGTACTTTCAAGTTTTTTATTAACAATTTGACAATATTAAGAGCATGACCAGAGTAGGCAGAAACTAAACAAGAATCTACCTTTGAGAGATAGTGTGAGATTTATGGGGTTTTGCCTAAAAGCATTCTCTAGTCTTGAGGGAAGTGTTTAAGAAAAAGATGTCAGAAGACTGAGTTCAATAGCAACAGAACAATTAGAAAATTGGAAAATCCAGTTAAAGAGAAAAAAATTACTATCCATGTCCAAAAACAGGAAAATGTGATACTTAAGGGGGATAAAAACGATCAATAGAAACAAACCCTGAGTGGGGCACTATAGCACACCTATAATCCCAGCAACTCAGGAGGCTGAGGCAGGAGGATTGCAAGTCCAAGACCAGCCTTAGCAACTAAGTGAGATCCTGTCTCAAAATATAAAATTAAGAAAAGACGAAGGAGTACTGGGGATGTGGCTCAGTGGTTAAGTGCCCTTGAGTTCATCCCCAGTACCAAAAAAAAAAAAGAAGAAGAAGAAGAAGAAGAAGCAGGTCTGGAGATGTGGCTCAAGTGGTAGCGCACTCGCCTGGCATGCTTGCGGCCCGGGTTCGATCCTCAGCACCACATACAAACAAAGATGTGTCCGCCGAAAACTTAAAAAATAAATAAAGAAAGAAAGAAGCAGCAGCAGATCCCTAAGATGACCCAAATGTCACAGTTAGCCAACAATGATTTTAAGCAGCAATTATAATTATGTTCCAGGACTTAAAGGAAAATATACACAGTAGATGAACATAAGGGGAATTTCAGCTGAGAAAGAGACTGAAAAAAGAATCCAAGTGGAATTCCAGAGCCGAAGAGTATAATAACTGAAATGGAAAATTTACTTGATGATCTTACCAGCATATTGGAGACAGCAGAAGAGTCAGCAAATTAGAAGATAAATCGATAGAAAATATCCAGTTTGCAAAAACAGAAAGAAAAAAAATCAAGGCACACATCTTAGTTGAAGGCAGGAACTAAAGTGAAATGTTCTAGTAGTTATTTCTGTAATGAAAAAGAAATGAAAAATAAAGAATTCTTGAATTTTGAATGGCTAATTATTTTAGTGTTTCCTCTGAGAATGAAAGAGAATGCATGTTTTCAAAGCGTTGTGTTTTTGTTGACGTTCATAGGCCATTTCTCTCATGTGACCATAACTTTCTTAGCTTTCTCTCCTGTGCTTCCTTTTTTCTTCCTCATTCCTTTCAGTAGCTGATGGCCTTTTCTTTCTGTGTGACTATATTTGGGAACCAGTGATAATGAAAGAAGAGCTAACTTCTGGCATTGGACTAAAACAAAGGAAGCATGTATGATAAGTCGTCATTTCAGGTTCCGTTCTGAGGCGGTTTGATGTGTTTTCCTGTTGTATTCCACTATAATTGTAATTTCCAAGTTTTTGATATTTCAACGCATAGCAAATCAGTTTTTTTAGACATCAACTTTTCTTAAGAATCTGAATTCAAAATGCCAAATGATACTTTGAAAGAAGCCCATTGTAATTATTGACCCCTCTAGACACAGTTCTGTTTCTCTTGTTTTAAACTCTACAGGTGTTTCACCAAAACCAACAGCACTTTTAGCAGCAGCACCCTTCCCTTGGTCCCAGTGATAGCACCTTATCCTCAGGATGGCTTGGAAATGAAGCCCCTTAATGCCATGAAGATGCCTGTGTGCCTGGCTTCCACAGTCCCTGACTGTGGCCAGTTACCTGAGGAGAGCATCAAGGACAGGCTGGCACCCCTACCTACCCAGCATATCTGCTGTCAGGACAATATAAATGGCATCAATTCCGAATCTACAGAAGACACAACAGAGTTTAACAGAGGTACAGGGAGCTGGTTTAAACCTTAGGTTTCTAGATGGTCTTTAGTTAGCTGAGAACTCTATCAAGGAGAGTTTTCTCTGGTCACTCACGTATTTCTTAAGAGACTGAGCAAGGGTGTTGTGTAGTTCAGGAAAAGATAGGACAGATAAAGGATTCTTCAAAATTCTATTATTACTCATATATTTTATCTCAGGTGGTTAATCCCATTACATTCTGAAAAATATATCCAAATAGGCTTGGATTGAGTTTGTATCTGAGCAGAAGCTTTGCAGGAAGAATGCATTTTGTAAACATGGAACTTTTAGAACTTTTAAGGGGTTTATTCTAATCCCCAATGAATTGTATAACTGTTTATAAGAGCTCAATTATATTTTAAACTTTTTGTCTGGGGGGTGGAAGGTGGGATACTGGTGATTGAACCCAGCAGCCCTCTACAATGAGCTTGGTCCCCAAACCTTTTTATTTTTTATTTGGAGCCAGAGTCTTGCTAAGTTGTTGAGGTTGGTCTCAAACTGACAATTCTCCTGCCTTAGCCCCCGACATCTCTGGGATTTCAGGTATATGCCACTGTGCCTGACTATTTTAAACCTTTTAAGTCTTTGTCTTCTCAGCTTCGAACCAAACATAACGAGGTTCTACTTTTGCTCATTATTATTATTTTTTTATTACTCGAAGTAATATTTTTAGATTGCTATGTGAAAAATCAGCTTTTATCATTTCATAAAACTTCCAAACTTTTCTCGTTTCAGGAGAGAGCTGTGGCCATTCAGAAACAGAAAACAAAATTTTAAGTTGGAAACCTCTGATTTTGCCACCTGTTTCAGAGGACTGTACTGAGAAGACTACGTGGTCTCCCCCTGGCATTCCGTCAGAGAGCTCATCAGGGGTCCTTCAGCAACCCCAGGAAACCTGAGGATGTGCAAATACATAGCCAGGTTCCCACCTCAAGCCAGTAACTGCACAGAACAGGCCTGGGAATGACCTGTGTGAAGGACATTAGTTCAAATCACAGAAAATCATTATTTATTTTTTTGTAGTAATGTCATATGAATGTATCTTAAAATGTGTGTCCTTTTATATTATTTATGCCTGAAAAATGCCTTTCCCTATTCCTTCCTTCCCCCTCTGTAGGAAATGGCCTTTTACATAGTTTTCAATCATCTGGAGAGTAGAGGGATCACTGTGTGTTTTCTAAAACCCTCAGTGACACTAAGAACTCCTTAAGCTGTGGGTACAGTCTGTTGGCTTTCAGCTAGGAGGGAGTTGCACAGGCCATTTGAAGTTGGCCCCCTTCACATTTTCAGATGGAAAACTGTCATTCAATATTATGTTAACAGACCTGAGAACATTTTGAAATCAACCACATTTGCAACCTAATGTTTATAATAGCAGATCTGGCTGATAAAGTTTTACAAGAGTGCCTTCCATAAACTACTTATTTACCTTCTGTCTGCCCGTGGGCATCAAACAATGTTCAGTCTTCTAAGCACCAACCATAGCCAGTGTTATGGACAAGGGAGAGTGTGAGGTCTAATTGTATTATGCAGGATGTAGGAGGACAAGTATGGCTGGAGAGAAATTAATGCCTTAATATCCCACTGCTTTAAAATTACATTAGTTTATAAAATGATCGTCACATGGCTCTTTTTCAACTATTTCTAAGAGTAGGAACAACAACAACAAAAAAGACAACTGTAAAGCAGTGGCTTGAAGAGAAAGATACACATTTTAAAAAGAAAGAAAAGGGAGGGCTACAGTGACTTCTCTTGGCAGAAGCTTTTCATCCTGTTTCATAGGTATATGCTCATGGTGCCATACTGCTTGACAGTAGTCATTTTCTCACTTCCTATATGGATAGCAGTTGGAACACATGAGTGCATGTGTGTAAGTCGGTTTTTCATCACTGTAACAAAATACCTGAGGTAATTTATGTGTAAAGAAATAAGATTTATTTTGGTTTCTAGTTTTAGAGGCTCCAATCCATGATTGAATAGCCCTATTGGTTTATGCCTGTACCAAGACAGCACATCATGGAGGGAATGTGTGGTGGAGCAAAAACCACTTCCATCACAAACCAGGGAGCAATGGGAGAAAGAGGAAAGGGCTGGAATCTCACAGTTCTATTTAAGGGCACACCCCAGTGACCTAAAGACCTCACCCCACCTATTAAAGGTTCCAAACCTCCCTATGGTGCCACCCTGGGGACCAAGCTTTTAACACTTGGACTCCTGGGGCACACTCAAGATCCAAACTGTAGCAGAGTGTCAGAAAAGACTTAATTTTGAGGAAAAAAGTTTGTTTGTTTTAGTTTCCTGATTTTTTTTTTTTTTTCAGAACGCATTGTAAACAGGCATCTAAAGCTTTGATAAACAGAGCTTATGCTGTTGCTGCTGCCTCTGAGTGACAAGGACATTACAACTGCCTTTGGAAGTCTTCTTTCTCAATGTTAGGAAAAGAAAAAAAAATCAAACATTATAAATGCATTTCATGTCTTAAGTCAGGTTTTCATGAAGTCACTGCTCTTTTTTGGATTGTGCATCCCTTTGGGGGAAGAAACAAAAAAATCATTCTTCTTACATAAGATCGAGCAGTTATAGCATAAGTTTTTTTGTTTTTTTTTTAAAAAACTAGTTTCTCAGAAATTGCAGTGGAATAGAATAATAGAATACTATGTTAATCAACTGTATGTAAATGCATCAGTTTTTCCTTACATGTGTTTATATATTTTATAAATAGAACTGTTAGTGAAAATGTTCTGTTTCAGCTGGGTCACTAAGCTAGAGTTACTTCCAGTAGATTATAGGAAATATAGTGCCATAGCTGGATATTAGAACTATAAGAAAAGCAAGTTCTACATTCCAATGTTCATGCCTGTAGTGTACCAGATTAATTCTTTGTGTTGTTTAGATGCAATTAGCTTTGGAGGGGGATAGCTGCAGCCCTTACTTCTCTGACTAGCAAAGGACAAAGTCCTAGTACATAGAACATAAAGAATACCCAGTGTGAATCAACTAAAATACACAAAAGAAGTTTAAGGAAACTAGGGAGTAGGTGTCCCTGGCAGTCATTTTGATTCCTGAAACAGGTGTATTAGCATAAGCTTTAGGTCAGAAACTGCTTCTAAAGATTGAGTTTGAATATGGGACTTGTCCACGAGGAAGAGAAAATAACTTTACCTTTCTGGCAATCTCATTCTGGACTGCTTTATTTATATGATTAGTAACGCTGTTTTAAGTGTTATTCATTTTATTGTATTTTATTTATAAAAATGCCTTTATATATTGAGATATATAAATATGAATATAAATATAGAGATATATATAGATATATAGATATATATATATAATTGCCTTTATGTTTAGGAGTTATGAGTTCTCCCTAAACGTGAGTTGCTCTGAACTTTCATGCCCTGCAGGGTCACCAGAAACAATCCTAATTAATGGTACTTCCCCAGGAAATAAAAGGACATAGGACATTGTGGGGGACAATACTCACATTTGTTAAGGAACTCCTGTGTCCCAAGTTCTGAGCTTAGTGCTAGTTACTATTATCTCACTCTACCCTCACAACAAATCTACCAAGTTGGTATGAAAATTCCCAGGTCACATAATGAGCTGAATTGGAACCCAGTGTATCTGTGGTCATCGTGTACGCTTCTGTTTTTTCCATACTGCTTTCCAGAAGCACTAGGGTTCACTCCTATAGAATTTGCCCAGTAACTTGTGCTGTCTGCCCCTGCTGTGTAATTCCTCAGAGGCTCTGTCTCTGCAGCTGCAGAAGATCCCCACCCCTGCTCCCCTCCCCCACTCCCTACCCCACCCCGCCCCCTCCCCACCCCCACCCCCACCGGCCTTGGCAGAGCTCTGTGCTTGTTACTGTCTCTAGCAGGCCACAGTCCTCCCCTGGATGCCCTTCATTCCCAACCCCTGTCCAAGACCTTGATCTTCACTCTGCTCAGTGATCATGAAATTGATGAGGCCTCTTCAGGTTCCTCCTAGTCCTAGTCCTCGAACTCTGATTCTTTGTTCCCCTGTTCCTGTTATGCCATTCCACCATCTCCCTTTGATTTTCTTCTTTCAGTTATGCACTGATGGTCTGATGGCACCTGCCATACAGGATGCAAGTTAAATTGCAATGTTCAAAACCTTTTGAAGCTGTCTTTTCAGAAAGTATTTCTTGCTGGGTTTTGCTTTTATAAAATAGGTCTCTAAAGACCAAAGCATCCATACTGGGTTGACCATGTCACATCATTCCAGCTGTAATACTGCCAAGAAATTAATGCTTATAATTGAACTTTACCTGTGTTGCTCTATTTTTTTAAAACAATGACTCTGAGATGCATGTTTTGTATCATATTGAAAAGTATGTTTTTATTTTTCCCTAAAGTTGTAATATTGTTTGAAATTGTACATATTTTAAATGATGTAGCTTTGACAGGTTTTATCTGTTTGATGTGGTTTTATATTAAAAAGAGAATGCTGCTTTCATGGAGAGTAGCCCTTGAAGATGGGGAAGCTCAGATACCCCCTGTTTGTACAAAGTGGCCTTATGGTTTGTGATTGGGGGTGAGTGTAATGTCTGGAATTCTTTGGAACCTCCACCTCTGTCCTTTGCTGAAAATCCTGTGTACACCCAAGAGCTCAGTCAGTTATCCCTTTATCCTGACTGCAGAGATCAAGGCCTTGAAGAGTAAGATCCTGGGCAATTATTAGATGAGGAGGCTGAGCTAGGGGGCTGTGAAGAGCCTGGGGGAGCCTCCCCAACAGGGTGACAGGAGGGTGAGAGAGAAGTGGGGAGATTGTGAGGAGGTTCCCCCTCACATCTTAACTTTTTACCATTACCCAGGGCCATGTCTAGGAGTGTCAACTCCTGGGTAGAAATTAGTCTCCTCAAAAGAAGAGACTGACCTAAAGAAAAAAAGTTTCTAGGCTTCCCTGACCAGAAAGCCAAGAAAATCATTTGTATTGGGTGTGGCCCTTTTGTATTTTATTCCTCATACTTAAATAACTGCTCTTTAAATCTTAGCCCTAGTCCTGAGAGCTCTGAGGGAAAGTGAAACCCTTTTCTAATAAAGTCTGAATCTGTGAAAACCAAAGGAGCTGCTTAAGTTTCTCCCAGTTCTCTGTCTCCTGTCAGGCACCACTTACTTCCCTTACTGCTGGCAGATCGGCCCTTGGCTCTCTGCTGAGTCCCCTGTGGAGGCAGCTCTGAGTCCTGACTCCTCTAGTCTGTTGAACAAGCATTCGTTTGTGTTCCACCCAGATTTCAGACACACACACACACACACACACACACACACACACACACACACGCGGAGCCACTGAGTCATGCTGGCAGCTACAGAGTGTGACTTTGGAACAGCCCCTGTTCTCCGCCAGCCAGCTCCCCCAGGTCTGGTGGCTGGATGCTGCTCCTGGAACACCTCCACTCTGTGCTGTGCTGGCCCTGACTCCTGGAATCAAACCACTGCAGGGTCGGTGGTGCTCCTAAGCTGCACCTCAGTAGAGGGACACATACCTAGACCCTGCTTCTTCCCGCTAGCCACACATGGACCCAGCAGTTAGCCTTTCTGAGTAAGTTGCAATTGAAATAACTTTCTGCCGGTGAGAGCATTGAGTGTTGTTTATTTAGGAATTGTTGAATCCACAGCCTTCCCCACCACCCTCCGGAGGAGCCAGCTTGCTCACTTCTGTAGCACGGGAGCTGGTTCCCAGTATCACCATTTTCAGTTGACTTCAAACACCTGGCACCTTCAAAAACGAGTCTTTTCTCCAGTTGTGTATCTTTCATATTCTGCCACCTCTGTCTTCCACAAGCTGGGCCAGGACTTCTTTTGTAACCAAGTCACTTAGGGACAAGTCAAGCTGGGCTTTGCACTGGTTAGTCTGGGTATTCAATGGGGAAGGGGCAGCTGGTGTCTTGACCACCTTGGGTTTTTTTGTTTTGTTTTTTATGGTGCTGAGGATTGAACCCAGGGCCTTGGGCATGCGAGGCAAGCACTCTACCAACTGAGCTCTATCCCCAGCCCTTGACCACCTTGGTTTTTAAGACTAAAGTCTGATGGAGGGGATCTTCCTACCTCCCACCTGCCTTCCCAGAGCTTATTTTTACCTTCCTCTTTGGCTTCATGGTGTTGCAGTCACTGTGATGGTGACATTTACTGGAGCATCAGGAGATTCTTGTGCAGGATCTAGACTTGGGGTGGTGGGTGATTCGGTGTCTACAAAAGAATAGGTGGGCAGAAGAGAGGCTTTGGGAGTGTCCAGATTGTTGTCAGACAAAGCGTACAGAAACAGCCTTGGTCTCTTTGTACGTGGATAATCTTTGGGATAGAATTGTGCTTACCTGCAGGCACCTCAGTAGTTTCCCTTGCTCCCCTCTGTTGGTGCCTTTGCCCTCTGGGGGTAAAATGAGAGAGGACAGTTAATGATAACTGTCCTTCCTCTGCTTTCCTTTCCAACTAGAGGAAATCCTTGACTTCATAATGACTGGGGTCCCCAACTTACATAGGAACAAGCAACTGGCCAAGGCCTGTAGGAAGAAAAAGAGAAGGGACATTATTTGACTGACTTAACATGGATCCCAGGAGATGGCACTCCCTTTCTCAATGAGCTCCATGCAGGGTCTCGAGAACCCAATCTGGAATGGCCCCACATTCCTGAGCTTGGGAACTGGGGCTCAAATGATGACATCTAGCCCTGGGGAGAAGGTTGCAGCTAAGGAAGGGCCTTGATTCTCCTTTGGCCAAGGCTAGACCTGGCCACCCTGTGGAGTCAAGAAAGTAGCCCTTCTCTTTAGATTCCCACTCACAGGGGAAGGTCCGTGGGTGCCGGGCAGCATACTGGAACACCAACAGAGAGACCACAGTTGCCACCACCATTCCTGTGCCTGCTGCACCCAACACTGCTGGATAGGCACTGAAGGGGGGGTCCACTAGGAGGTAAGATCACGGTCACATGATTTAGAGCCATGACTGAACTTGGGCAACAGTGGCTCATCAGATACCGAGGAGGCAGTGCCTGGCCCAACCAGTTTCCCCTCCAGCTGATGTGGGGGACCCCAGGGATCTGGAGATCAGTTTTTTCCCAAAGAAAGAAGTACTCTGACTGCCTGGTGGCCCTTGATGGTTTGTGTCCCCAGCCAAATTCCCCATTTCTGGCACAGAATGCAGAAGGCCATGTATTTTGGCAGCTTGGAGCTAAAGAGAAATGGGCCATAAACCAAGAAATCCCCAAGATGGGGAGGGAGCAGCAGGAAGCTGAGAGCCCTCCTGTGTCCCAGAAGGTGAGACTGAGGCACAGAGTGGGGCCCCTTCTTAAGTAATCACCAGCACCCTGTTCCTCCCCACCCCCTCTTATTTCTTCGGCTTCAAGCTGAATTTGGGTTCAACCCCTAGGCCTGGAGCCTCTTGAGCCTGCAGGAGGATGGGAAAGAGTGGTAGAAATTACCAGAGGGCTCTGAGGAGAGGGTGGAGAAGAGGACAGAGATGGGGTGTAGGAGAATCCAGCAGGAAGGAAGCAAAGGAATGGAAGTGGGATGCTCTGTGAACAAGATGTACCAGGGTCCGGTTTTCTGGGGAAAAGGTGAGTCCCTCCCTGGGGCCAGCCCCAGCACCTGGTGTCTTCACCTCGGAGGGATGTCCAGCAGTGTGATGATTCAGAGCCAGGATGCGGAAGGCATAAAGGACTCCCGGGTCCAAACCTCCCAGCCGCCAGCCCCTGCTCTCTGGGTCAATGTCACTAGCTGCAATCTCCCAAGCCCCAGATCCTGGGCCAGAGCCACTGGCCCTCCGCTGCACCAGAAAGCTGGTCAGGTTCCCAGGGCCCTCGATGGCCCATTGCAGCTGCACCTCTCTCCGGTGCCGCCCATAGGTGAGGCGTCTGATGGTGACATTGGGAGGAGCTGGATACCCTGGAGATGAGTGAAATTGGGGACCCATGTAGGCACCTGTACATCTACCACTATGATTCCTTGAGCATTCAGATGTGCTCCTGGGAAGAGGAAAAACTAGATGGGAGTTTTAGACCTGAGCAGTTTACCTGGTCTCAGTTTCCTCATCTATAAAATGAGGAGGAGGAGGAAGAGGAGGTTGCAACTGCGTGGAGTTTTGCGTGCCTGCAGTCAAAACTGCCTCAGACCCTTGGTGCCTACACCCATCTAGGGACCTGCTGTGGAGAGTCCACCTGGGCCCAAGTGTGCTCTGGTGTCCAAATTTTGGAGCAGAAAAATCTAGGCAAATCCTTTCTGTAAAGTATTCTATGGCTGATGGTCTCCCACCCCGTTGCCAAACAACACACAGCACCCCTCACTCACTCAGGACCTCCAGCAGCACACTCTGGCTGCTCTTGCCCAAGGCGTTACGGGCCATGCATTGGTAGGTGCCCCTGTGGTGTACTGGGTCAGCATCTCGGATTTGGAGGCGCAGCTGGGCACCCGCAGGATGCAGCACAAATCCTGATGTGCCTGGTTCCACCTGCTGTTGCTGGGGACTCAGCCAGAGGAGCTGCGCTGGTGGTGTGCCCTCCTGGAGAGCACACTCTAGCCAGGCCTCTTCCCCCTCCAGCACTGACACCCGGGACTCAGCCACTGCCAGGTGTGGGGCTTCTATGGGGACAGAAAAGGTGAAATTGGAACAAGTGATCAGTCCCAGTTAGTGGGAAGGCTTGAGAGAAAGGGGCTGGCTGGTGGTGAAGACGATGCAGAGCATAGGGGGAAAGACTACGGGGCTGTGAAGCTTGTCCTGGGACAATCTGGCTTCTTGTTCAGACTCAATTGAATGCCAAGTTTCCATCAAAGTCAGCTCCAGGGTGTGCTGGTAAAAACAGTCATCCTTCCTGTTCTTCCCCCACCAGACCCCAGCCTCTCCTCCCACAGGCAGGGGTCCTGCTTACTCATCCCTGCACCTGGCACAGACCTCCTCCCCCCTAGTGGCCTACCACTTCTCCGCTGGCCCCAGGCACAATGCTGGACCATAGCAGATGCTGAGTTTTTATAGACTGACTCTATGAAAAACTCAGACTCTCAGGTGCCAATGAATCTCCTGTGATGGAATTTCCAGTCCTGAGACTAATAGGGAAGGAAATATTTGGAGTGGAGGACCTTCTTAGAGCCCTCTCAGAAAGCATGCTAGTCACCAAGCCTTTGAGACCAAGAGGTAAATCATTTTGTAAGATCTATTATATGTGACAGATCTTCTGGGTTTTTTTTTTAACATTTTTGAACACCAATATTTAATTATTTTGTCTTTAGTTGTTAGTAAATAGATTGGTGGACCAGAGGAAGACAGAAAGAGGAAACAGACATCTGGTCAGGCACCTCCATATGCAAATAGATACTAATGATGAATACAATCTGCATTCCCGTGTCATCTAGATCAATCCTGTCAGTACCCTAGTGACCAACCACATGTGACACTGGGTACTTGTAATGCAGTCACTTACTATTGAGATGTGCAGTAATTGTAAATACACTGCATTTTTAAAGACAAGATAAAGGGACTGGGATTGTGGCTCAGTGGTAGAGCACTTGCCTCGCATGTGTGAGGCATTGGGTTCCATCCTCAACGCCACATAAAAATAAATAAAGGTATTATGTTCATATACAACTAAAATAAAAATATAAAAAGACAAGATAAAAAAATTAGCTCATCGATATTTTTATTATTATCATATGCCGAAATGGCAATGTCTTGGATATATTGAATTAACCAAAATGTTTCACCTATTTCTTTTATTTATTTTAATGTGGCTAGTAATTTTTCTTAATTACATAAACAGCTCACATTATGTTTATGTTGGCCCACACTGACCTAGTAGAAATCAAAAACAAAACAAAACACTTGAGACCCTGGAAAAGTGGTGCATCAGTGTCCGTCTTGGCTCACTTTCCATTCTAGCACAGTCACACTCCCTGGACTCCCTCCTCCTGGTTTCAAAGGGCTGCTCCTTCTGCCCCACCCCCAGAAAGCTAGCCCAGCTTACCCAGCTGGAGCCTGCAGTAGGGGTCAGGAGTCCTGAGTGGGTGAGAGCCCTGGCAGGTGAACTCTTTGCCAGCTAGGTCACCCTGGGCCTGTAGGAGGTGGATGGCCAGTGAAGAGCTGGCACTGCCCAGGGGCTGCTGTTGCCCGTCAAGCCATCTCAGCACAGCAGGAGGCTCGCCTCCAGGCCACTCACAGCTCAGCATGATGAACTGGTCTCCTACTGTGGCTGTGGTCCAGCAGATAGGGCTCTTGGGAGGTTCCCCTAGAAAGGAATTAGGGCTCTTGGGAAGAAATACTTGGCAGGCCCACCCTTCCCTCTTCCTTCATTTATTCCTTCACTGACCAATTCCTCCATCATGTGTCCCTCCTTTCTTCATTCATTGATCATTTATGCAGGACTCACCATGTGGCTGGGCAATGGTGGGGGTGGACACTGAGCAAACAGTCACTGTAGAACTGGGTGAGTATAGGTACTAGAGTATAGGTAGAAAGACAGACAAACTCCCTGGGGCTTCAGGAAAGAGAACTCTGTCTTGGCCATGCGTGGGACCTTCCCAGGCTGAGGAGGAAGAAGAGCACGTTTGGCAAAGAGAACACTAAGATGCGCATCTAGACCAACAGGCAACAGAGTGTAAGGTCTCTGGGGGCCTGCTGACTGTGGAGGCTGGGAGAGAGTGAGGAGGGGTCACAGAGCTCTAAGCTAGAACCGAGGAGGACAAAGCACAGTGTGGATGTGAAGTGGGAGCTAGAGGATGAGCGCTGACCTCTACCCATCTCTTTGTTTCATGGCATGTCTTGGAGCCTGAGATCTGGAGTCCACCCCAGACCCACATCCTTCTGGTTTTCCCCTGTCACCCTACCTGCACTCTGAAATATCAGAACCCTGCATATCACTTGTGTTCACTCACAGAGTTTGACCCTGCAGAGGGTGGGCAGTGCCAGGGCTGGGTGCTGGCTGATGCAGGTGAAGACACTGCCATTAGGGAGCCCGACAGCTGCATGACTCCAGGTGACGTTGCTGGGGGCAGTAGGGCCAGTCTTCTGGGGCCCTTCCCATCGCAGCTGGGCAGTTGGAAGACCCCCAGGCCAGGCGCAAAGTAAAGTCACAGCCCCAAGGGTGGGAAGCACAGCACAGGAGGGCTGCCCTGCAGGGGGATCTGGGGAAGTGGGTGAGGAGGGGCTGGAGCAGGCTCCATGGCCAATGTCCTGCAGCCCTGGTGACTGGATATCAAAGATAGGGAAGTAGAGAGAAGTGGCCAAGTAGGGAAGGACAGAGACCCTCTAAGGTGCAGGTAAGGAAAATGCTGAGGTCTCAGGTCAAGGGGCTGGGGCGTGGAGTGGGCAGGGTTCAGATCCCATAAGGAATCCCAGAAGCCCCAGTGGGAGGCCCCATCTCTCACCCTCATCTTTGCCCCTGGGCACCATGCCTCACTGTCACTACTCTACCTTTCTCTGTGCCTCAGTTTTGGTCTCAGGTCCATGGGAATAATCATTTGGAAGGGTCCCTCTTCCTGCCCCTTCCCATGATTTCCTTAACATTTCCCTTGACCCTGCAACCCCACTTTGTTCTCCAGATGCATCCTCCCACACCAGACTGCTGCCAATTTCTGTGACACTTTCTGCAGGATGGTTGGGTCAGCCAGAGCACAGGCCTGTATAGGCTCCAACCCTGGGTGTCCCCCGACCCACACACTCACAGTAGATGGTGAGCTGAACAGTGGTCTGGGTGCGGGTGTCCAGGTGGGTATTGTGAGCCAAGCAGGTGTATAGGCCTGTGTGGGTACGGCCAGCACTGGCGATGACATAGGTGGGACCAGTGTGGACCTGAGCATCATCACGGAGCCACACATAGTGACTGGGAGGGTTGGACGCAGCCATGCAGCTCAGGGTCACCTCCTCCTTCTCACTGGCCCAAAAACCCTCCTCAGTGAATCCCAACGGCTCCACAGTGATCACAGGCTTTTCTGGACCATCTGGAGAGCAAGGAAGACCTGTCACATCTCCCCGGTCTTCATCCCTTATGTAATAGTGTGTGGTACACACCAGCTCTGTGTCGGCCCACATGCCTGGCCCTTGGGTGCTCGGAGTCCCTGGAGGCCATAGGCCCAGTGCAGGGTAGATAGGCACCCTGTGCTGTGGGGCCTCAGGAAGCAAGGTGCGACTCTGAAGGCTTTCCTGAGGGACTGCTGGGGGCTGAGGTAGGAAGCACAAATGAGCTTGCCAGGCAGAAAAGGGGCATGGTGACCCACCCTCCCGGTGTGCTGGGAACTGGGTGGTTACTTGGAACTGGGATGGCTGGTCACTCTAGAGTGCAGAGGGAAGAAAACACGGAGGGATGACACAGGGCCTGCCCTTCTCACTTGCTCAGGTGCCCACCTCCCGCTCTCCTGCTTCCCAAGCTTGGTCTCTCTACCTCTAATGTTCTTCCTGACTCCCAGAAGGGACTGAATTTTCTGTCAGATTCCATTATGCTCCCATGTCCTTCTCAAGATCTCTGACTCACCCAACTCCTCCACAGCCCTCAGTTTACAGTTCCCACAAACTGCCACCATTAAGACAGAGTGGGCGCCATTAGTTCTTGTTCCTTAAAATCTCTGGAGCAGCACTGCCCAGTAGATGTGTGTGAACCACAGATGTTGCTTTAAATTTTCTAGTAGCCCAGTCTTAGTGGGGGAAAAAAACCAAAAAACCCAAATCCAATCAATTAACAAGAAAAGCACCAATAGGTTTTAACTTTAATAATACATTTCATTTATCCAAATATATCCAGAGTTCTATTTCAATATATAATCAATGTAAAAGTTATTGAAGAGCTATTTTATATTTTTTCTTTCAGAATATGTCTTCGAAATCAAGTGTACACTTGACACGTACATCTCAGTTCATTTGGATCAGCCACATCTGAAGTGATTAGAGACACACGCGTGGCTGCCATATTGGATAGAGAGCTCTAGGCCACCCTAGTCTTCATTTCCCCGTGGGGCTTCTGATTTCTAACATGGGACTCTCAGCCTCAGCCTTTGGACCAGCTTAATGCCCTCTCTTCCCATTGTGGCCTCCTCCCTGTTTTTTGAGGGTTCAGTTGATCCCTTGAGGCTTACATGTTACAACCAAAGACCACTCCCCAAATCACGGGTAAAACCATGCATATGAATGAATATATGCACATTTTCCTGGGAAAAGGAGCTCATGACCTTAAAAAGGTTAAACATCCTGGTACTAGAGCTGAATTTGGCACCAGCAGGCACAGCACCCTGTGGCTATAGCTTATTAGAGTCTCTTGGAGGGCTGAGGGTACTCCCTCAGTGAAAGGATCTAGGGAGCCTGGAGGTATGGCAGCGGGCCAAGTGTGCCTAGATAGGTGAGTGCTGGCCCTCTCAAACTGACTCACAGATGACATCCAGGAAGACTCCATCGCTGCTCAGTCTGTTGACGGCATTGCTGGCGCTGCACACATACCAGCCCAGGTGCGTCCGGTCAACCGGGTCCAACCATAGCAGTGGCTCTGTGACCCCTAACCGTGTTTCTCCAGGGCCTCTGGGTGTCTGATGCCGCCAGGCGAAGGTCACAGGCTCCGTGCCCTCCCGCACTATACATGTGGCTACTGCAGAGGCTCCTTCCACTGGTGATGGGTCACTCAGCTGTACCTGAGGCTTGGAGACAGGCACTGGCCAGAGGGAGAGACTCTGGGTTTGTTATTACAGAGCCAGGCCAGATCTGACTGTGTCCAGTGAGCCCACCCCAGCTGGTCATGGACTTGCCGGCTCACTGAGTCCTGAACATCCCTCCCCGCCCAACTCTAGCTTTCTTCAGACTCTGGAGGGGACACCCTTTGGATCTGGGCCCAGCACATGCAAAGAAAACAGCAAGCACATGCAAAGAGATACAAAGCAGCATGCAGATCAGCCGCAGTTCTGCTGCATCCCTGGCTAGGCACCTCACCCAGCACGGCCAGTGTGAGGTAGGAGTAAGTGGTGTGGAGCTGGGCGCCGGACACGTGCAGGGCCTGGCACAGGAAGTGCCCCCGTGCACCCTCCTGGAGCTCCCCTAGCACCAGGCTGCTGTTCCTCAGACTCACGACCCCCAGCGCAGAGGCCCCGGCCTCCACCTTGGAAGAGGTTCCATCAGTGACAGCCACAGGTAGCGGGACCAGGGAACCCAGGGGGGTGAAGCTCCACAGGACCACCAGTGGGGCAGGCCCAGAGCCACAGTCCAGCTCCACAGAGTTGCCGCGTACTCCTTGGATGGACACAGCCTCCTCCACTGGGGACTGGGGAGTTAGGTGGGGTTGGCCTGGGCAGAGAAGGAACAACAGAGGACGTCTGGGCTGCTCTGGGTTCTACACACACACACACACACACACACACACACACAAAACCCCCTTTCCCAGAGCTTCTGTTTACTCTCCTGCAGTTACAGGTGGCCCAGCAGGGTTCAGTAAGACAGCACAAGCAGTTCTGGAGCTGGTAGGCAAGAGACAGCTCTTGAGGGATCTTGTGTTTAGATGCACTGAAGGAGAGGTTGACTGAGAATAGAAGGGACTGGGCTGAGGTCTCCACTTCTCATGGGTCGTCAGACCATCTAACAAAAGTACAAATTCATGGGCCTCACCCTAGACAATTGAGTCGGAATCCTCCAGCACGGGGAGTGGGCAGGGCCTAGGAATCTGCATGTTTAACAAGTACCCAGGTCAGTCTGATGAACAGCCTGTCAACAGTGACGCTGGGGATGCAGGAGATCCACATGGTCACTGGCAAGTCAGGGTCTAGAAGTCCCTGTGTAAGAATTCCAGAGCTGGACCCCACCTGGTTCCAGTCCCACTGTAGCCAGGGGAAGGAGACAGCAGTCTGTATCAGCCTATCACCAGCCAACAGTGGAGCATGAGGACAACTGAGCCCCTATCCTTGTCTCAGGGAGCTCTTAGTATCTCAGGGGCCTGTTGAGAATAGTTCTCATGGGTGTTCTCTGCTGAGGGCTAGCTCTCAACTCCAGCTTTGGGCCAGCTACCATATTTCCCTTCCCACTAGAATATGGCCTGGGTGGGTCTGCTCTCTATAAACCTTGGCAGGTTTGCCTGGAAGGATAACCAAATGACAGGAGCCATTGACCCTAGCTCCTCCGACTACATGCACTCTTCCTGCCAGGCTCTGGACTGGCACTCTTCAGTGCATGGCCTATTGACCTTTTATTCTAAGAATGCTGTGAGGCAGTTAATAACAGTGACTCTGAGGAACTAAGTCACTTTGCCCAAAAACATACAGTAGGTGGTGGAACTGGGATTGGAGTCCTAACTACCAGTCTTAGATTCTATCCACTTCTATCAGCTTCTCCAGAGAAAGAAGAAGAGAAGACAAGTATGTAGTTGGTGGGAAGAGATGGTACACAATTCTGATGTTGCATTGCTTCAGAAGAAAAACACCTAACATGAAACAAGTTGTAAGCTTAGGAGTTATATGGTTAGATCTGGATTAAGAAAGTTTCCAGCTTTTGAGGGGATTGAGATCAGCTTGAAGACCATTACAGTAGCCTACGTGAGAGATGCTGGCAACCCAAGCCAGTTTACAAGCTGATGACAACCTCAGGATAGCTCTTTCTTCTTAGGGTCATGCAGGGTGCTATTACCTACGTGGCACATAGTAGTTGCTCAGTGCATTCTAGTTAAATGTCTAACAATTGAATGACGAATGGATCTCATTGAACGGTTATGCAAGTGCAAAAGCAGGAACCCCAAGGAAGAAAAGGGAAGAAATAAGGGTACGTGTGTGGGAAATGAATCACACAGGGGGTCTGAGCACTCACCTGAGTCCCCTAGATGCAGAAGGCAGAGGTGTAACAGCAGTGGGAGGTCGAATGGTCTGTGCTGGACCCTCTCACCCACCATGGCTCCATCTCCCTAATGGCTGCCCATCTGAGGCTCCTACTTAACTCTTGGGCTCCCTGTCCCACAGCACAGCCTTCCCTGGGGGATGGGGTCTGGCTCAGGTTGCTAACCTCAGCTCTTCCTATACCTCTACCCCTGCTCTCCTGTTACTGTCACTGCCCTGATTACTCATGAATAATTTATCAGATGATTCATTCTATCCATAACGCAGAGTTGGGGAGTGTCAGGGCCCAGCTGGGGAAAACCCAAGGGAGAGGACCATGTGCTCCTTGCATTTCCATTTGAATGATATTGTGAAATTAGAGTCACTGAACATGGAGTTGAAAAAGGCCCCCCATCTCATCGAATCTGACCATCTGCCCCATGCAGAGCTCCCAAGCTGGGGAACTAAGGTTCCACACACCTGTAAGTGCACTTAAGCCCCTTCATGGTTGTCCTCACAGTTTGTGGGGAGAAACTGGAGGGGTGGTGAAAGAAGCTGTGGTGTCAAACGCAGCTGAAGACGGGGTCAGATTTTGATGTCCTCTGGTGGGAGGGTTGAGAGCAGGGTGAGATTCCTGGACCCTGGTGAGAAGCAGGATCTCATGTCTGGTGTTAGCTTCACAGGGGCTCAGCCAGGACAGGAACTGTCAGAGTTGAGAGCAAGGCATGCTCTTCCTGGGCCTGGAGATGCTCTCTGAAGCACACTGGCCTCTCACTTGCACCAAGACAGCAGCCCTCTGGATGAACACTTCCCCTCTCCCCAATCCATGGCCAAGGCCATCTATGCCCTCCCCAGGCTCTTGAGTCCCCATTCCCCCCTAACTCGGTTGTAGAGCAGAATGGCAGGTAGTTCCTAAGAATCAGATTCCACATGGGGAGGAAGCCAGGTTGGCCTGACCCTAATGACCAGTTCATCCAGATCACTCATTTTGACCTCCCCGTTCCCCCAACTGGGAATGTCTCCATCTGCTCTGAGACTGTGGTTGACTCTGTCTGACCAGAGGCTTGTGGAACTTCTGAGTACCTCCTTTTCTGACAAGAGCACTCAAAATCTTTATCATTTATATACCATGTTAGAGTTTTGTTTATCCATCTAGTTAATGTTTCACATATCAGGATATGATTTGGCTATAGGCTTGTGGTTTAGTCAGTTTTTTTATCACTGTTACCAAAAGACCTGATAAGAAAAAAGTTTATGTGGTGTTTATGGTTTCAGAGGTCTCAGTCCATAGAGGACCAATTCCACTGATCTGGAGGTGAGGCAGAACATCATGGTAGAAGGGTGCAGAGGAGGAAAGCAGCTCAGGGTACAGCACCAGGAATCACAGAGCTCCTCCAGCCACACACCCTACCTTCCTACAGTTACCACCCAGCTAATCCACTCACGTATATTAATGTCCTGATTAGGTTTAAGTTCTTAAAACCCAATCATTTCACCTCTGAACTTTGAGTATTGTCTCACACATGAGCTTTTGGGGGACATCTCACATCGAAATCATAATAGCTTCCTTGGGCCCTTGGTCCAGGCCCATGAAAAGGCTGGGTAGATATTCTTACTCTGAGAAGAAATGGCAAATTCTGTGTACCTACCCATATCTTTAAACTAGATAGCAGTGGTGTGACAGGAACAGATGCCCAGGTTTCCTGCTGCTGCCTCCCAAGTGAGGACCTTCTTTACCATTGTGAGCAGCAGCTACATCCGACTTTGGATGCTTGTAAACCTCAGGGCCAGATGACTTGTCCTGGGACCTCTTGTCTTGCACTCACCTCCCTGCCTCTTGGAGCCAAACTGCAGTTCCTGCCTTTGTGCTGCAGATTTAACCCAGATCTCCAGCCTTTTGTATCCATCTCAAATTCCCATTCTTGAATCCCAGGATTTGGGGAAAGCAGAATGTGGAAGGATGGGGACAGCTGGACTGGAGCAGAGGAAGCAGATGCTCCTGGAAATAAATGGCTTTTCCATGTGTGCCTTGTCAGAGGCCAACCATAGGCCCTGGGGGATGCCAGCAGGAGATGAGCGGAGGGCTGGAGAGGATGTGGGTCAGAGGCTCCACAGTCAGCGCTCACTACAGAGAGGAGGGAGGAGGACAAGTAGGACAGAGGACCTACAGGGGTCACTGCTCAGTCACTTTGTAAACTGCACCTTGGAGACTAAAGAGGAAATGAAGGAGGCCCCAGATGGAGGGGCTGGGAAAGAGCATGATCAGATCAGAAAAGGGAGGAAAGAGAGGAAGATGGAGGCCTAGGCTATAACAGAGGAGAAGGCATACCTGTTAGGGATATGAGGAAGGAGACCCAGTTGCTGGTGCTGGCTAAACCTAGAAACGAATCCCCTTCTATCTCCCTTCCCATTCTCAGGAGCCTTTCATAGACAGCCCTTCCTGGCCACTTTGAACAAAACTTTCCCTATTTCTGGGCCTCCACTTCCTACTCGGTTAGGCACATGACTTCAGGGCTTCGGTTGTAGCTCAGTGGCAGAGTGCTTACTTATGAGGCACCTAGGCCCTGGGTTCAATCCCCAGCACCATAAAATAAAACAGTAAGTGCAATCCCCACCCTGATGCTCAGGTGATTGTAAGAGGTGGATAGGTAGATGAGTAAGAAAATATAAACCACTTTACAGAGTAGTGTGTGGAAAGACAGGCCTGGGAATCACATCAGGGTCCAGATCTTGGCTCTGTGCCCACCAGATGTGACACTGGGCAAGTTACTTACCCCGTCCAAGGGTCACTTCTTCCTCTATAACAAGGAGTAATCGTTGGTTAGGCAATATCAGAAAATTATTTGTTAGTTTTACTAGGTGAGATAATTTTGTAATTATGTCAAACAACATTTGTATTTTTTAATGAATACTCAAATATTCAGTAATGAGACATAATGATTTCTGTGTTTTACCTTAAAACACTTCTACAAAAGTAAAACTGTTGCTGCTTTAGCCAGGTTTCTGGTTCTTCATTGGCACAGACAGGGATTTTTGCAGGGCAGAAACCTACTTGACACTGAAGTTAACATTTTCCACATGTGTTTGGGAAAAAAAATGTACAAAACATTTTCCTAATTTCTTAAAAGACTCGACTCATGGAAAAATCATGTGAGGTGTGCTTAATGAAAAGGAGAAAGGAGAGTGTTTTGGGGGGCAGTTACATTGGAGGTGAAGAGATTTCCTTGAGTTTGGGGTCAGAGGTCTTAGAAATCTAAGAGAGACTGAGGCCTGAGAAGGCAGGCCATGAAACCTGGGGCCAGAGAAGGGAATATTGTCATTTCACAGGTCCACCCAAGACGAGGAGGTCTGCAGCCCTGACAGAGCAGAGATTAGAGGCCTTTCCCTGTTCGTGGGGCCTCTTACTTAGTCCATGTGTGCAGTTATAACAGAAGAGCTGAGAATGAGTGATTTAAAAGGAGCAGGAATTTACTTTTCCCTTATCTGGAGGCTGTGAAGTCTAGGATCAAGGTGCTGGCAGGCTTGGTTGTCTGGTAAGTGCTGCTGTGCTCTCTGCTTCCAAAATGCTGCATCCTCCGGAAGGTACTGACATTGTGTCCTCACATGGTGGAAAGTAGAAGGCAAAAAGGGATGAACTTCCTCTGTGAAGCTCTTTTATAAGGGCAACTAATCCCATTCACAAGGTAGGTCATTCATAGGCCTAATCACCTCTTTTCGGGGGTGGGAGTGTACCAGGTATTGAACTCAGGGGCACTCGATCACTGAGACACATCCCCAGCCCTATTTTGTATTTTATTTATTGAGTTGCTTAGTGCCTCGCTTTTGCTGAGGCTGACTTTGAACTCACTATCCTCTTGCCTCACCCCTACCCCCACCCCCAGCCACTGAGATTACAGGCGTGCGCCACCGTGCGCAGCCTAATCACCTCTTAAAGGCTCCGTCTCCTAATACTATCACATTGGCAACACATGAGTGTTGGAGGGGACAAATTCAAACTTCAGCAATAAGTCTCCTGGATTCTGGTGGAACCCAGGAAGGGGCAGGAGCCTATGGAGCCAACTCTATTTGATTTTTATGAATAAAGGAATGGATACTTTTGTATACCCATGTTTGTGGAATACGATTCATACTCATAACCCTGCTATTATTATTAGCATTAGCACTGTTATTATGAATTAGATTGGAGTCTGGGCTATGACCCTAGGTCACAGTGTGTGTTGGATGCTGCTTAATGTGAGTTGAATGCTCAGGATGGCTGAGGTTCCTCTCCCTGGAAGAGGCTGCAGGCCTGTCACCTCTTAAGTTCTTCCATGGCTCTACCCCAACTAGCAATGGGACATCTACTAGGCCTGGAGTGATGGTGCAGATGGTTTTCTGTGGTTGAAGGCTTGGCTGGAAGTCCCTAGTTAGAGTTTTGGCTGGATCTAGTAGGTGTCTAAATAGAGTGGAGGAGGAGTTGGGCTTGTTTGTCCCTTAGCCCTCTAGGTAGGTCAGGCACTTGAGATCTGTGGGGGAATCCAGGGCTCAGAGAAATCTCTCATCTCTCTCTGCATCTTCAGGTCTGGCTGACTTTCCTCTCCCTGCTCCCAAAGTCCTCCACCCCAACCTGGCTAGATGCTCCAAGTTCCCTGGCTAGGGCTCAGGAAGGAGTAGGGAGTTTCCAGTATGTCTCTGTAGAGCTCCAGGGGGAGGCTTGGCAACTGGAAATTGTCAGCGGTCTCCTTGGTGACTAGCAGCCAAATAATTCTGGGAATGGAGGAAGAAGGGGGGTTCTCTGCAGGGCAGCCAAGAGAAGCAGCCCTTAGCCCCCAAACCTCAATTTCTCATTACCTGTGTTAATCTGAGTCCTGCCAGGAGACAGAAACCACATGTTAGCTGAAAAAGAGAATCGAACATAAAGAATTGATGGCTAGGTATAAGGTTGTTAATTAGGTAAGGAGAGAGTAACAAGAGAACGCTGAAATATCAAGGGGGTGGCCCCTGCAGAAGCAGCTCTACTCAAGGGCTGGGGAAACCAAAGGAAGGGTTCTCAAGGAGGGAACCAGACTCTGGATGAGGGGGCTCTGGTCAGCTGATG